CCCCCCCCCCCCCCCCCCCCCGCTCTTCCCGTCTAACGTTGCGCATTCTTTTTTGTTCTTTTTTTCTTAATATGACACAACGAATCCATCTCCACCATAAGAGTCTGAGACAGATTAGCAATGATTTCATATCGTCGGAAAGTACCTGTGTGTCTACGATTTCCCAGACAGCATATAGGGACATCTCCCCTGCGGGTAACAGGCTCAACAAGACAGTTTGGTAAGCTGTCATTCTTGACATATTGTGTGCCCTTCTGACTAATTCGTAGGGTGCCATGCGTTCGATGCTGATGTTAGCAGGCTCACCCTCTACTCGCCCAACGGTACACGTTCTCTCCTCTCATCCCTACCGCGATATATGTCTCTCCCGAAAGCTGTTGTTGCATACTTGGTTTGCCGTGGATCATCGAACCTAACGCCAGTACCAACCCTCAACGCTCCAGGTCGGGTGCTTCGTGGACAACCCTGGCATCTTGATGTACGGCAACATGTGCGTCGTGTACACGAGCGGGTTCTGGCTCCTGCTGGCCTCCTTCTTCGAGCTGCCCGTGTCCACCACCCACGCCACCGTCGGAGGCATCGTCGGGATGGCCATGACCTACCGCGGCGCCGACTGCGTGGTCTGGTACGAGGAGGCCGAGTTTTTCCCCTACCTCAAGGTGATATTGATCTGCCTTTAACATGTGTCGGTTCGAAACAACGTCTGAAAAAACGCTAAAAAAACTACTGCCACTCCCGAACATTGTTCTGTCTTGTTTCACTGACTCGCAAGCGTTCTTGACTTATGTGCGCTCTCTGAAGCGAGAAAAAAACATGTCGTCGTGCAAAGGTACATGTTGGCAGTGCCCTCTTCTGAGCAGAACCGACCGTCCATCTCGCCATGTTGATCGTTTTCCTTCCCTTATGACTTTTTTCCCTACTTCGGGAAAAGGGTAACCCGGAGATTAGTGTCGCCCTTCACTGCATGTCTGCGGTGCCCGACTCATGTAACGTTAGGGGTGTACAAGACCCTTCTCCTGAGGGAATACTTTTTTCGTCTCATTCTCATCCTAGAACGGGACACTGGCACAATCATGAAAGTACGAAGCGACTAGTATTCCGATGTGCTAGATGTGAAACCATCGGAATTCAAATATCGGAGTTGATGTCGCCATGTTTTTGGTGGGTCAATAATCTGAGGAACACAGAACGCGAGCAAATTTCTGGGCAAAAATGTGGTACCCCATGTTGTTGCATGAGCCGCCCTCCCCCCTGAGACAAGAACCGATCGTTTGCCATACTGTTTGTTTCCTCTATTGAACGAACCGCCTTCGCGCGATTACTAAGTGAATGAGGAAACAGAACAGGGGGGGGAGGATGCAGACCCTATTCCGTAAACCTAACCCTAACTCTACTTCCCCGATGGTATACTTTGTCCAAGATGTTTGCATGAACCCGATAACCTGCGAGAGCTACATTCTGATTGATTGATGTGGTTTCTCTCCTTCGCCCAGCAGAATCGATCGTTCATGTGTGTCTGCGTTCCCCCGCCCTTGGATGCGTGTCGTGTTTTCTGCTCTTCGCAACGGCCGACCAACAGGGTGTGTCCGCCATCGTGGCCTCGTGGGCGCTGTCACCCGTCCTGTCCGCGGTGATCGCCGTCGCGCTCTACTTCTTCATGCGCACCTTCGTTCTGCGGGCGGACCAATCCCAGAAGAAGGCCATCAACATCTTCCCCTGCCTCGTCACCGTCACCATTGCCGTCAACGGCAAGCCCACGCGTGGTAGACTCACAAAAAATACTCAATTTCGTGTCGATCTTTGCTGAGGATGCCCCTCGGGAAACATCGCGTTGATAACGGCGCTGCTGTGTGCGGCTGACTGCTGCACCACGACGACGACGCAAACGCCATCAGAACGAGAGGGAAAAAAATCCCTGCGGATTCTGACGAAAGGGGTGCTTCAGACACAGCTCGTGCGCCTATAGACACCTCAACTCCACTTGTTGTTTAAACAATATAGTAGAATTCAATCATTGCAAGACCGTGGGGTGAGTTTTATGTCTTGGGGTTTGTGCAGTTGTGGCGATATGAGATCAGCATGTTAGTGGGGGGTCTCTTGCGCTGCTCGTAGGAAGCGCCGAGAGACGGCGCTCGGAAAATTTAGGATGGTGTTACTACAGTACTGCTTCCAGAGGGCCTTTCTAATGGACTCAAGTACCTGCCAAAATGCCCTGGCACCGCCCTCACCCCTCTCCCCTCGACCAATCCTCATGCCCCCAACCCTCCACCGCCGCCCCGTCCTTCCGGCCCATCTCTCGTTCCTCCCCCACACAGTTTTCTTCATCCTGTACAAGGGTGCCAAGTCGCTTGGGCTCGAACGCACCACCCTCCCCGTCGCGTTCGCCTGGGCATTCGGCCTGGGCGGGGTCGTCGGGGGAGCCATGTACCCCACGGTGCTCCCGTACATTCGGCGGAACATCGCCGCCAAGTACCACGACGACGGCACCCGCAAGTCGGTACGCAACAACCCGCATTGTTGTTGTTGTTGTTGTTGGTGGTGGTGGTGGTGGCGGTCGTGGCGGTCGTGGTGTTGCTTATGTTGCTGTTGCTGTTGTTGTTGCTGCTGCTGCTGCTGCTGCTGTTGTTGTTGTTGTCTTCACATTAAAAACCGTTACGTTCTCTCTACCCAGTACCTTCTTCTCCAGCAGTCTCACGCTCGACGCGGTCGATTCCCGTGAGGTCACGAGCTAACTTACCCAAAAACGTTACCAGTAGTCTATACGCACGCAATGAAGTAAGGACGACCCTTCGCAGGAAGGACGCACCGCATCCTCCATGCGATTCGCCGAATAAATTTCCTACATTGCGCTCCGCGTCTGATGATGTCAGAGCCAGGTCCGATGAGACCCCGGCGTTCTGCGTCTTGGCCTTGTAGGGGTGCGAGGTCAATGGTCTAAGGACTTCGGCACGCACGGTTGTGAGTACACCCTGTCGATCGGCGGTGCCGGTACGAAGGGGCGCTCACGGTATCTGGCATTATATGCCCGTCCCCCCGACGACGGCATACCATGCTGGTCGAGCATACCCTGCCCCCCCCCCCCCCCCCCACGAAAACGCTGCGCATCACAGACGGAGGACTTTTAATTGGATCTTAGCGCCCTCACACCACGGCGAAGAAAGCCTTTCGTATCCCCACTTGGTCGGAGAGATGCGATGGGGAAAACTGTATTGAGCCGCCTTTGACAAGGTACTGGAGGAAAGAAAAAGTGGCTATCGACGACCGGTTGTGTCGGGGCAATGCTCCTTCCTCTGAAAGACGTGTGGCCAATGGTCTCTAACAGCTAAGGCATGCAAAGCATGAGCACCCCCACCCCCGAACTGTATTTGTTCGTCCAGGAGCCCCGCACGGAAAAAGTGGTTAGGCCCCAACCGCAGAGCGGTGTGATCGGGTTTGTCATGAACCAGATGAACCAGGACATTTACTCCAGCGTGAAGGACTCGGAGTACGTCAACCAGATTCACGACAACGCAGAGAAGTTCGATCCCCGCACGGAGGAGGTCTTCAAGTACGTGCAGGTTAGAAGAAATATCTCCCTGCGTTTGCCTATCTGCAAACCACGAAAGGCGCATGGAAACCGGGGCTGTTGTTGTTGCTTGTTGGGAGGCAGCGTTCGAAGCGGGCATCAGCCATCGGCTCGCACAGCACACAATACGACCTACTGTGAAAGAACTGATTTACGAAGGCAAGGAAGACGCAGTAAAGAACACATGCATGTCTGCGGGCAGGCGCGTGATGAATGTCTGCGTGCGCGTGGATATTCAGCGATAGCCTAGCATGGGCTTCCGGTCAACCCCATGTGCTCTGTCTCTCATGCCGTTCTTGGTGTTTGGCAGGCGGTGGAAACTCTGTATCTTTGCTTCCTTCCTTGACCGATGGCTAGACTACATGTTCCTCACATGTTGCAGTTAGCGCCCGACTTTTTCAAACATCAAGCACCCGCACCCACACGGAGTGATCTCTTGTGGTGCAGATGCGGCCGGACGCGAACGATGGGCCACACGTTAAAGGCCCATGTAGCGCGCACTCAACGAATACATGCTTCTCCCGTCTCTGCGAATTTGTTGGCGTGGCCAGATTTTTACCGCCATCTGCGACTCCTTCTCGCACGGAGCGAACGACGTGGCCAACGCCATGGGACCCTTCGCGTCCATCTACTTCGTCTACACTACCGGCGAGGTCAGGGAGGATGGAAACCTCGGCAACAACGCCTTCTGGATACTCGCTTTCGGAGGTCTCGGGATGGTTGCCGGACTCGCCCTCTACGGGTAAATGGGGGTCCCCCGTGGTATGTAGGGCAGCTGATAATGACACCACCTTATTTCAGTGTGTGGAACACCTTGATTGTGCCAGCCAGCTTCGTCCGCCATACATATAGGGGCGACAGCCTTATTCGAAGATTCTCGTCGTACATAGCAACGAAGCTACCGTAGGTGACATATATTGCCGGGTTCGCCATCTACAGGTGAGGAATGTATTTTCACGCATGAACGCCTTCATCTTCGCGAAGGCGTACATACACGAATGAATCACGGTGGCCAAGATATACGAGGAGGCCTTCCTCGTATCGTGTGTTTTGCGAAACCGTAGGGTGACGAAAGATACCACACACCCTGAATCGATTTTCAAAGCTCGATTTCTCCACAACAGCAAGAAGAGCGGCAGAGCGAACAATGGAGGCGCGGCAACCTTCCCTTGCGGAGCGTTCCGAAAACGTACTTTCGTTTCATATGTGTGTCCTCTTCGTCGTCCAGTGTTCCAGCTTTGAAAGTTGGTTCAGAGGGGATCTGGTGTCTTGCGTAACCCTACGGTAAACCAATGGTATCATGACGTGTGTGAGACGCGGTCGTTCTGAACGTCGTCGTTGGGAGTGAGTGAAAATACGCACCAACAACCGAAATCACGGAATCCCAATATTTGACGACGTGGATAGACCTAAGCAGTGCGAACGTATGTCTGCTGGTGATTGATTGATTTGTCCCCGAAAACTGTTATTGTGTCAAACATATGTCCTACGTAGTCATATTTCACTTGGGGGTCTGGGCTAGCTATCGACCGGTTGATAAACCCCAACGCCGTCTTCGAATTAGTAAATATCTGTGATGGCCTGAATGAGGTTGAGGAGGAGATGACTGAAGACGCTTGATGCAACCCAGAGTTGTCTTTGTCTTAGTACGTGGCTGTGTCATGTTGAGGGGGGAAAACCACGCCTGAGTCTAGAGGCTCGGGATTGTGGAGATGCGTGGAAGCAGCGGCAGTGGTGCGTGTGCATGGGCTTTCGATCTTGGGACCTCTGGCTTTGATTGTGTGGTCCTCTATGATTGTGGCCGGGCTGCGGCTATGCGAACAATTGTGTCATTCATTCTTCCAAGGTAGAAGCATGTGAGTGAGTTTTGGGCGTGACGCAACAGCGGCCAACAACTGATGCATGTCTGCACTGACTTGAAATTTCACGATGATGTACTGTGGCTGAGACGGATACAACGATACTCTTCCCCTTCGATTCCTTGCTTCGTGTTTTCGCCCCTGTCCTATCGTCAACGACAGGTACAACATCATCGCCGCCATCGGCGTGAAGATTGCCAAGATCACTCCGTCCCGTGGTTTCGCGATTGAGCTCGGTTCCGCCTTGACGGTGATCATTGGCACCCGACTCGAGATACCTCTCTCCACTACCCACTGCCAGGTAATACCGTCAGACATTACAGAAATACTACCCATTCGAGGTGTAACCGCATTCGTTTGGATTTGTTGGGATGCGAGACAAAAACACGTCGTCAGCAGTCTGAGCTGTGGACATTGGAAACCGTCATACCGTAACTGGCACATGAGCTGTGGTTTGGACCTGCTGCCTGCTCCAACTTTCATCTTCATCACTCCTTGGTGGTACCGTGCTCTGTTGAACCCACTCCGAAGGGATCACTCGTGCATCACTTCCGAAAGTGAAAACGCTTTTGATTGTTTTCTCCTCCGAAACAGAGGATGACACGCCCCTTCCGACCCTTGTCTCGGAAATATTCCCGACGGTAGTCTACCGTCGATCTTCCTGTTGCCTCGAAACCGGGTGCCAAACGCATTCTTGCGGGGTCCATTGACAATAATAGCACCGCTTGCCACCTCATTGACGACGTGTACAGTCTGCGTGCACCCATTTGACGGTTGTTCCCCTCGATTCGCTCGTCGCAACCTTGACTCACTGAAAGACCGTCTCCCGGACGTCGGGCGAAACGTAAACTTGTTTTCACTACGGTATGCATCTTTGTATTGTTGGTCCGAAAAACAGGTCGGAGCCACCGCGGGCGTGGCCCTGCTGGAGGGAAGCGGAGGCGTCAATGGCATCGTCCTCGCGAAGGCCATTTTCGGGTGGGTCGTCACGATCGTCGTGTGCGGCTTAACCTGCTCCGCACTGTTCGCACAGGGGGCCTACGCGCCCTACGCCTACGATATCATCGACGACCTGGCGTCCACCTCTTCTTCGTCCCCGTAACGGAAACTACGGGCTTAGCCACGGCTACAACCACATATTTCTTGAGCAGAGTGACGTGGCAGCCTAAACGTTGCCTCTTTCTGTGTGTTATTTGCATCGACCTTCGCACTAACCGTCCGACCGACGACAAGACCTCAGCCTCGGCGCGATTGAATGCACAATATACTCCTAAAAGTAGGGCAATGAAATCTCTATGTGTGTGTGTCTCGAGGCCTGTTTTGCAACACAAATGGGTTTTCATTTCATTTTCCCGCGCTTCTTTTCCGCGCACGCGAGCACGAGAGGGGGCGAGAGCTTCCGGTTTTGTGCTTTCCTCCATAAGAAAGTGTTCAAACGGAGTGATATATCTTGCTGGTTGCGTCCGCGTGGGCGTGCGTTTGCCGCTGCTGCTGTATTCCTATTTCACTCGGAATATAAGTGTACTCGGTCGTGTTCATGGTTTATGTCATGTGCCATCGTCTTCGGCTTTGGTGTGCTTCGGTTTTTGTGTCGCATGAGTGAGTCATTGGACGGCGAAGTGATCGGGTCAAGATGTGCTCCTAGTGTGTTTTCGTTTGCGATGGCGAGGAAAATCGAGAAATGTGGGCGGGTTTCAGGTGGCAGGATATATACTTGCATGTGCAAGCTGGGGTTGGTTGCATCATAGGTATGTAGCAATTCATCGTTTACCCGATTGGTGCAACAAATCTAGAATGTAGAGCATGTGGGCGACTGATGACGCGGGGCGGCAAAGTTTTGCCGTACGGATAGAGCGCCCCCCTTCCCATTATTTTTTGTGGAAAAGCCTTCGCGGCTGATTCCCCCCTTTCTCCTTGAAGAATATCGCAGAGGATGCATTCACCTGTTTTCGGATACATAAAAGTATATCGGGAGTAAAGGGCCTATATATGTTTCATTTTTTTGTGGTTGTCGCTCAGGTGTTGACCTACTGAGTTCTAGAGCGAGTGTGTGGGGTGACACGTTCTGTAGTGGTGCCGGGCTGATGCCTCTGTGCTGATTTCAGCGCGCCGGTAAATGTGCTATGAAAGTTTTAATTTACCTTCGGTCTTTGTCGTCTCTGTTGAAGTACAACTTATCGAAGTTTTTTCGGAGCCATGTGTCATCTATCTTCATGTCGTACGTATCGTAGGTTGGCGATATTCCTGTATCGACGGGTTGGTTGAAACTGACAAATTTTCGGGAGTTCTCTCCTCGTGGGACGACTATTCGCTCCTTTCGTGAAGCCGCTGGGGGAAGGAAAAGGGCTCTGTTGAGGCTCGGGGCTACATCCGGACAAATATGCTTGTATCGAGGGTTGGTTATGAGAGGAAGGAGCTTAACCAAGAAAGAGGAGGGAGGTATCGTTGCATGCATAAAAGGTCTTTAGAACACGCGTATTCATTCGCGGTTTTGACCCCCTTCTCCCCGTCGTCTTCCCACATGTAAATTGAACCGTCCATCATGTGCATGCGCATTGTTTAAGTAAGGGTGAGTGTCGCAGCAGCCCTTGTAAACGTCTGCATGTCTTGGTTTTTGGTGTAGGCCAAGAAGAAGAAGAGGGAAAAAAGCAATAAAAGATGAATCGCAGCACTTGTTGCTTTTCCATTTGCTTGGCTTGCTTTCGTGTGCGTGCTTGCTTGCTTGTTTGCGTGCTTGCTTGCTTGCGTGGATGTGTTCGTCGCCGAGAAGAACAAGAGTAACCGATTGGCGGTGGTAGAACAGAAGTATTTTCGTGGCTCGGTTCTCTTGCTCGGAACAATGAATTTGAATTTTTCTTCATATGGCGGTGGACCCAATCTCATATACTACTGACCGTTTTGCTAAACCTCCCCATGAAACGCCCATGAGCGGCCCATGGGCGGCCCATGAAGTGCCTGCCGTGGGCGCTTCTACCTAGACCTCCGCCACAAGCATATCAACCTAAAAGCTAGCTACCTTCACATCAACAACCTAGCACGTATATTGTGGGCTTGGGCTTGAGGTTACGGTTAGCGCTCGGGTTATTAGTCGCTGTAGTACCCATTCCAAAGCAGATAATCTATTTTTTGGAGTACAGTGGTTCGGTGGAAGGGCTCTCATTAGCCGCCCATGGGCTGCCCACGAACTACCCATGGGCTGCAAACGGGCCTTACGTGGTGCCCGTGGGCGGCCCACGAGTGCCCCATGGGTCACCCATGGGTCCCATGGGGCGTTTGGGAAAAGTGTAGAAAGTGTGGGAGACGCAGTTGACCGGACGATTTCCCCTTTTCCTGCTTGTCCATCCCGGATTTTCTACTCGTATCAATACATTGTGTGTTCACAGCGCACGGCCCCAAGTATGTGCGTTCCGCTCAATCTGTGATTCAGAAATTGTATTCGTGCATTGTTTATCCTAATGGTGTTCGTTGATGCGAGGAAACAACAGCTTGGTCTCAGCTGCGTTGTTCACTGCTCGTGTACGCAAGGGATCGACTCCTTTGTGCGTGTCCCAAGTCCACCAGCAATTTGCTGAGGCGTCTTGCTGTCCGACTGCACGTATGTGAGCTCAGTATCGCTTTGCTCTATCGGGGTGTTTTCTGACCGCTGTCCGTTTCCGACGCTTCTCATGTCCGACCACGTTTCGCTTGACTGCGACTGTCTCCGCAACGGCAACCAAGTCCTGTGCTACGCCAATTCATGCGACTCTTGTTCCGTGTCGGTAGCTCCCCGGGCTTACCCATGCCCTTGTCCCGGAAGGTGCTGGAGACCGAGTTCAAATACGTGGCTGGGGCAATTCACTATATTGTCCTATCTTGGTGTTGCACATAGGAACAAAGTTAACCGATTTTGTTCTTTGTTGGTGTGCGTGTAATGTTCCCGCGGGATTGTTGGCAGCGAGGGGCATCGCACACCGACATTCTAATGCGTAGGTAGTAGTGTCCGTCATCTTGTACTTTGTCTTGGCTTCATGTCGTGAGTAACGGTTACGTGCGTACATGAAACGGGCGTCAGTTTCACAACAAAACAACTGTACACTGCGAAAAACGATTCACTCGGTTTGTGTGGTGGTCTGTCAGCCACACACTGGGCTTCATCTATATGTACAAAAAGGCCGCCTTCCTGGGTGTCTTCAAAAATGTGGCAATCTCGGCGTCTGGCTAGCAGAGGATTATTTGGTGAACGTTCCTCGACAATTTCGCCAGTCGGGAGGGGAGTGGCGAGAGGGCGGCATCCTACTTCGTGTGGGGCAACAAAGCCCCATCCGCTCTCCAGTAGAGGGCGAGA